TCTCCACTTCCCAAGCACTTCAGGAGAGCTCTGGGGCACATCCTGAAACCACTGAGGTGCCCACCTGCAGTTAGGGGGGTTTGGAGCTCACTCACCCATCAGGATGTGCCCAGTGCAGAATTTTCTTATCTCTGTTCATTCCAGCAATTTTCCAGGAATAAATTCCTGTCCAGGGTTCTGCCCTCTGCCTGCAGCAGTGAAGGTGCACTGTGTCCAATAAATGTAATCCTTGAGGCCTGAGCCTGTTAATTGGGCTCATTAATTGGCTCCCCAATGTGGGAGATGAGGAGCAGAGATTGTCTGGGGTGTCTTCCCACTCGTTCCAACCTCAGAAATGCTGGAGATGAGAGCAGGTTTGGCTTTGCTGAATGCAAAACACCAACGTTTCTGTGGAATTCTGTGGGATTTTGTGGAATTCTGTTCCCATTCCCATAGGCCTGGGAGCTGTCCCCTCCCCCTTTGACTGTTACATGTGCAACCGGGGGCTCAAGACTCTGCACGTCCGGATGAAGCTGCACTTCCACAACGGCCTGGCCGTGGCCAAGTTCCTAAAAAAACATCCAGAATGGGTAGAGGAGGTCCTTTACCCAGGTGGGTGGGCAGGACTGGGGAGCATCCCCTGGGAGGGGTCTGGTTTGGGAACATCCCAGGGGAGGGGTTTGGGAACATCCCAGGGGAGGGATTTGGGAGCTGTGGTGCCCCGTGACTGGGGCTGGGTCACTCAGGTGAGGCTGAGCTGCCCCAGCTCTGCACTGGAATTCACTGGGAATTCTCCCAACTCTCCCCATTCCAGGGTTGCCTTGTCACCCTCAATATGAGGTGACAAAGAAGCAGTGCACAGGCGTTTCTGGGATGGTCAGCTTCTACATCAAAGGGAACAGAGACAATGCCTTTGCCTTCCTCAAGAACTTGAAGGTAAAATAAAGGCAATGAAATCGCCCTCAGAGGGAGCTGAAACTGCCCCGCTGAGGGGAGGGTGGAAGTTGCTTTTCCTGCCAAGTGCTTTGGGTGTGCCCCACTGTAAATCGGGGACCATTTGTCCCTGGGGGTTAATGAGAGGGAACAAAGGGAGGCTCAGCCCCTTGGGAGTGTTTGTTTGCTCCCAGGGTGAGGCGGGTCCAGCTCAGGCAGGAGCTGCTGCTCACCCAGGGCTTTCTGCAGGACTGGGGAGCTGGGGCTGCTGCAGCTCGGCTGGAATATTGCAAATGCCCTCAGGAGGAAAAGCCTCTGAGGAAGGGCCTGACTCGGGGGGCAGAGAGGGAGCCCCTGGCTCTGGGAATGCTTGGCTGGCTCCAACCGGGGACCCATCCAACCAAGGACATTGCAGGGATCTGGGGACAGGATGAGCCTGTTTGAAATCTTGGCTCTTACCTGCCAGATGTGCACTTTATTCCTAATTACACCTAATACAGTTTATAACATAGAAGTTATTATAGAAAAACTTGGGGAAAAACGTCCCTAAACTTTCCTTTTTCCTCCGTGTCCTTGAAGAGGTCCCAGCCCCGAGGCTGCTGCAGGAGGGTTTGGACAGAGCTGCCAGGGATGCTCGGGCTGGGATTGTTGGGGGGTGTGTGCAGGGCCAGGAGCTGGATCAGTGATCCCTGTGGGCACTTCCAACTCAGGATATTCCCTGATTCTATGAATTCTCTTTCCATGCATCCATAACCTCCTTCCCTTTCTCCCATAGGTGTTCACCCCGGGTTTCAGTCTGGGAGGCTTCGAGAGCCTGGCAGCACATCCGTGAGTTCATCCTTCCATCCTCAGAATCTCAAAAAGCTGCAGAGCACCACAAAATTCCCAGAGCACCACAAAATTCCCACAATTTCTCAGTCCCCAAAGCTGTTTTAGCTTTGACTGTTGTGCAGCACAAAGCCAGGGGAGATTCCAGAGGGAGGGAATGCTGTGAGAGTGCAGACATGGAGGAGTTTTGCCCGGAGGGCTGAGGCACAGTTGGTGTCCATGAAGACAATCCCAGGAGCTGCTGGGTGCTGGGATAAGGAGCAGCTGGGATTGGGGAATGCTCTGCTCCCTGCTCACACAGGGGGGCACGGTCACTGTGAGCACCCAGCTGCCTCTGCCTCCCTGGCAGCGCCTCCTGGGGGCGTTTGAAACTGCTCCAAAGACGATTTGCATGGAATTGCATTCTTTTACTCCAAGCCAATTTGCTTTTTGAAAAGGTACGTGGAAATTAGTGACTACATTTGAATGCTAAATCATTTCACTTACTGATTTCACAGCAGATCTTGAACCCCTCCAGCAGCTGAAAGGAGCTGGTGCCAGTGACTGAGCACATGGGGAAATCCCTTCTTGCCTGTGTCCTCTGTAGCTGGGGAGAATAAACCCTCCAGAGTCATCTGGGACAGTTGGAGAAGGGATCTGAGAAACCAGGAGTGAAACCAGGAGATTTTATACTGGGGGTTGCACATTGCCCACAGGCAGAGCTTCCAGCCCCTCTGTAGAATAAAAAAGGAATAACTCTGGAAGGAAGAGGAATGGGATTTTCTCCTTTTTCACATCCAGATTTTTAAGTATCCACTTCTTAATCATTTGTGTTTTGGAAACACAACTTGGGGATGCAATTCCCTGACTTGCAGCATTCCCATCATTTCCAGGAGCTGCTGCCAGGAGCTCTTTGCAGCTGTGGGGTCACACGAGTGGCACAGAGGATGTGTCAGATCCTGCTGCCAGGGCAGGTTTTACCAATAAAAGTCCCAAATTCTTGGGATAAAGATGTTTTTTTGTCCCTGCAGGGCCACCATGAGCCACGCCTCAGTGCCTAAGAAGGAAAGGGAAGCTCTGGGAATCACTGACACCTTGATCCGTCTCTCAGTGGGGCTGGAGGATGAGGAGGATTTGCTGGCAGACCTGGATCAGGCCCTGAAGGCTGCGGTGAGTGGGGTGTTCCCCTCCAAAAATATCCTTTTATAATAATAATAATAATAACCCAGCCTTTCCATGGGCTGAGCCTGCAGCTCCTCCCAGATGGACCCTGGGCTGTGGATTTAAAGTTTCCCCGTTTGCAGCCTTGGCTCAGGCACGGCTCCCATGGATTCAGGAGCAATTGGGATGTGCCAGGCACAGCTCCATGTGGATTCAGGAGCAGTTGGGATGTGCCAGGCAC